AACGATGACAGACGCGCTCCGTCCCAGACATCTTCCCGGGCGTGTCAGGACGCAGGTACGGCTTTGATGCGTCACCGGCTCTGCGATTCGCTGCGTTGTGCAATTATTAAGTAACTTCCAGGGGAAAAAGAGAACCTGTCACCTCGGAGGGGGAGGGGCACCTTTGTTTTCAGACTGTAAGGTTTGGACATATTTCGGGGAGGTCATAATAGGTCCAATAATGGGGTCACTTGAGTCCGCTAACGGGGTCACTTGACTGCGAGTTGACAATCACAGCGTCAGCGATGGCTGCATGACATTTCTCAGGGCGGGTTTCCTGATGGTGACAACTGTAGACCGTGTCCGTTTAATGTGTGCTGACAGAGACACTTGTAGTCTCCATCAGAAGCCCATGCGACAGGGTGACAATGCAGGAGGACAATTGGGAGACAGGAACAGAATGTTGTCGCCTATAATAAGAAGTGTCTGAACAAGGACAGAGCGTTGTCACCCAATAACAGGAAGTGCCTGAACAAAGACAGAGCCTGGTCACCTTATAACAGGAAGTGCCTGAACAAGGACAGAGCGTTGTCACCCTATGAAAGGAAGTGTCTGAACAAGGACAGAGCATTGTCACCCTATAACAGGAAGTGCCTGAACAAGGAGAGAGCGTTGTCACCCTATAACAGGAAGTGCCTGAACAAGGACAGAGCCTGGTCACCCTATTACAGGAAGTGCCTGAACAAGGACAGAGCCTGGTCATCTTATAACAGGAAGTGCCTGAACAAGGACAGAGCGTTGTCACCCTATGAAAGGAAGTGTCTGAACAAGGACAGAGCATTGTCACCCTATAACAGGAAGTGCCTGAACAAGGAGAGAGCGTTGTCACCCTATAACAGGAAGTGCCTGAACAAGGACAGAGCCTGGTCACCCTATTACAGGAAGTGCCTGAACAAGGACAGAGCCTGGTCATCTTATAACAGGAAGTGCCTGAACAAGGACAGAGCGTTGTCACCCTATAACAGGAAGTGTCTGAACAAGGACAGAGCATTGTCACCCTATAACAGGAAGTGTCTGAACAAGGACAGAGCATTGTCACCCTATAACAGGAAGTGCCTGAACAAGGACAGAGCGTTGTCACCCTATAACAGGAAGTGTCTGAACAAGGACAGAGCATTGTCACCCTATAACAGGAAGTGCCTGAACAAGGACAGAGCGTTGTCACCCTATAACAGGAAGTG